AATTCATCCTCTTCTCAATACTCACATAATCACCAACTTAGTTTATGCCCTCTTCACTTCTTTCCCAGACCATTTCAATGGTCTCTTTATTAGCCTCCCTGCCTCAAGTCTTTCCTTACACCACTTCATCCTTCTCACAGCTGCCAAAGTGATTTTCCTTAACTACAAGTCTTGATCATATTACTTCCTTCCTTCCCCCCAAAAGCTCCAGTGGTTCCCTATTGCCTCTAGAATAAAATAAACAATTCTCTGGCACTTAAAGTCTTTCACAAATTCTCCTCAAACTACCTTTCCAGTCTCACATATGTTGCTTACCTTCTCACTCTACTGTCCAGCCAAACTATGCTTGCTTTTGCATCAAAGTTGGTACTCCATCTCCTATCTCTATGAGCTAAGTCAACAGTATGTTGAAAGAGAAGCACTGAATATCTAAGTCACATGGATTTATTTACAGAAGCATAGGACTTCATGATAGTGAGGCAAGACCAGGTTAATGACACCAAAAATTGCAGAAAATTTATTGCTGAGGATCCCAGACTTATGGATTGGTGCAATTTACAACAGTAAACAGGGGAAATGGTATAACTTAACACTGTGGACTTGGGAAACAAGTTAGAGTTTACTTAATAATTAAAAATACATACCCAAGTAGACCACCAGCACCTCACTATCATTCATAAGCTAAGATAACAAATTCTTGTATTAGAAGACCCTTGATATAAGAAATCCCAAAATATCCTTGATAATTCCACAAATAAACTGTAATAAAACCGAACAATTATTACAGACAGAATTGTTGTCGACATTGATCCTGACATGACATTGATCCATGAAAAATAAGATAAGCAAATACTCATAATTTTCAACTGATATGGAACAATAAATATTCAAAATCTAGAGACCTATTCCTGTGGGAATAGGATGCAGTATTTATCATGTCTTCCAATCTGCTTGAGTTGTCTCAGACATGCTTTCCATGAACCTGCAGAAGATAAGCTTCTATCCCAAATACTCTAATTCAACAACAAGTGGATATTTTATCCATTTTTGCAATAGTCAACAGAATTTAGGGTTGGACCTGTGTCTTCATTAATATAAGGAATTCCCTGCGAGGATACAATTCTATCAATACACATGGGTATCAGTTCTGTAGTTTAAACTCTTCAAGAGTTGCTCAGGTCACACTTGACTGATTTACCCTGGATGACACACCAGTATGTATCAAAAGCAGGACTAAAACTCAGTACTTCAGGACTCCAAGACTTGATCTCTGTCTCTATGCCACACATACATACATATACATACATATATGTATATATACACACATACACACACACACACATATATATATATATATATATATATACATATATATGTAAAATATCTTTTGAGTCTCAAAATAATCCAGTGGTTAGAAAGGGGAGGTATTTTAGGTTTTATTATTATTATTATTTTTATTATTCCCATTTTATTGAAAGGGAAGTAACAGAGTAACAGAGTATTTAAATTAATTGTCCAAGGAGACAAACCAAGTGTCAGAGGAAAGATTCAAACCCAAGTCTTTTCTCTGCTCCCAAGCCTGGCATTTATTCTGCTATGCCACGTGACCTTTTCCTACATGAAGGGCAGCACATAACATACAGGATCATTTTAAATTTATTTGACATAAACCATATTATGAGAAGTAATTTTTCCCATTATTTGCAGCCATTAAGCACCCACCATATATTAGTGAAGACATGCAACCATGTGTGAACATGTTTTATCTCTGGGTTTCCCACTCTAGTGGAGTAAAGGTGGCACTAACAGAATCTGATTCTAGATAACCAAAGGAAAATAGAATAGTGTTTAAAAAAATTTCCTATACGTGATATCATGAGTTTTTAGAGCATCTGCTTTTTTTCCCCCCAAGTCAGAGCTAAGCAACACAATCTCATTGTCATGGAAGTTTTAAATGGTGACAAGCCATGAAAGTCAATTAAATGATATTCATTTTCCAAAAGAAAGAGATAACCAGGAACCACAAATCCCTAGGCCTGTTCAGTGGGCTTGTATGAACAAAAACCTAGACCTGAAGTAATAGCTGGCAGTAGTAACATAAATGAATTTCATGTACTTACAAAGGCTGATCATCCACAAAGTGGGGAAGTTTGGGGTCAATCACCAAGCATTTATTAAGTACTTGCCCTGTGTTGGGCAATAGAATCTGACACCTCAGAAGTCAAGTAGTTCAACCCATATATGGGGTCAAGGCAAGAAGTACTTATTACATTCTTAGTATGTGCCAAGCACTGTACTAAGTGCTGGCAATACAAAGAAAGGGAAAATCCTTCTCTGCCTTTAAGGAGCTCAAAATTTTTGTAATGGAAGAGCTGGGAGTGTTAAGTACAAAACTGTAATCTCTGTTCCCTGGGAGGCTGAGGCTTGTGTATCTCTTCAGTTTGGAAGTTCTGGTCCACAGTAGGCTAAATGGATTGATTCAATACATCAAGCACCAATATGGTGAACCTCTAAGAGTAGAGGACCACCAGGACCCCTAAGGCAGGGAGAACTCGTCTAGGCTCTCATGGCCCTGATGCAGGCCAAAACTCCCATGACAATGAGCAGAGAGATTGGTTTCATGAGAGGCTTCTGCTCTTCCAGGTGAGATAGCAAAACCTAGTTTCAAAAGAAAAAAAACTACAATCCAATGTGAGAGGAAATATGCAAAAAAGACATATACAGAATAACTTGGAGGTAATCTCAGAGGGAAGGCACTAGCATTAAGGAGGATTGGGAAAAGCTAACAGAAGGTGGGATTTTGTGGAGAGTTGGCTTAGATTTTAGCTTTGGTGGCTTGAAGAGGGCCAAGAAGATGGAAGGTGGAGACAAGTAAGGAGAACATTCCAGATATTGGGTTGGGGGGACAGGCAGGGAAAAGGTCTGGAGTCAAGAAACAGAGGAATGAACAGGAATCTCCTCAACAACAATTCCAATTAGGGACCATCTAGCTTTTGCTTGAACACCTTCAGTGAGAGGGAAATTTTCTTCCCTCAAGGCAGTCCAAGGCAGTCTAATTGTTAGAAATTTTTTTTCCTTTTTTTTTAATTTGAAATCTCTCTCTCTCTCTCTCTCTCTCTCTCTCTTCAATTTGTATCCATTGCTCCTAGTTTTGATGTGTGGAGTCATCCGGAATAAATTTAATCTCTCTTTAAACACCTAAAGATAGCAATATCAAGTCCCTGCCCTAAAGTCTTTGCTTTTCCAAACTAAATATCCTCAATTCCCTCAATTAAGGACCCTTTCACCACTACCACCACCACCACCACCACTGATCCCTGATTCTGAACCCCTGCTATAAGACCTTTAATTGATGGTGACTGATGATGATGATGTTGATATCTGTATGCTTTATGGTTTACAAAGTGCCCTCAAAATTTTTTTTTACCCCATTTGATCCCATTACACAGTTCTATGAGGTGGGTAAAGCAGATGTCATCATCCCTATTTGACAAATGAGGAAAGCCAGATATATCAAGTTTAAGTGGCTTGTTCAAGGTCACCCGAACCCACATCTGCTGATTTCAAGTACAGCAAGCTTTCTTGCCTTGCTTTTCCAGAAGTTTATTAATAAGGGACAATGTCATAATCCTAAGGTCAACCAAGGTCATCAATGATAATCAATGATAAGCTATATGGAGGCAAGAAGAGCCTCCTGGTACAAATTCAAATCATACAGTATAGGCAGTTATCAATTCTTCCTATGCATAATACAGTCCCCATGATTATATTTGCATACCAAGACTACTTCAGATTCCTATTTTAGATTGATGATGACAAGGAGATGAGGGAAAGCAGCTTTGAATGTCTACCCTTTGCTTCTACCCAATTCTCTCAAATGCTCCGCATAAGCACACACAATTTTCACCTCTTTTCTATTCAGAGACAGAGAGAACTAGGAAACAAACTAGAGAAAGTGCCTCATGTTGGAAAAAGAGTTTAGACTAAAACAAGGAACTTGTGCACTGGCAAGGTGTTGCTTAATGTATAATTCACATATACCCATGCATCTGTGTGCACATTCAGAGTTTGAATCTGACATATTCAGAAAAGGATCTGACCTGATGCTGGGATCTATGATAATACCTTTTACAATTCCCAGAAATTTCCTTCTTTGATTAGTCGGAGAGTGAAGACCACAACACCTGGAGAGGACACTACTATTCTGGAGACTTAGAACACAACAACTCTGTCTGGAAATTGTGATTTACAAAATCTAACTCTGGAAGAAGAAAAAAAATGGAGCTACATCTCCATTTCACTCTCTGGGTCCATGGAGAAAGAAATAACCCACTTCATTCCATTAACTCTTTCTCCCCATGTGCAGTGAATTGGCAAAGAATAGCTGATACAAAGTGGGAGAAAGAGTTGGTGAACTTCTAAATGAGAAATAGCTCAGTCTCTTTCCACAGACAGGCTCAGTCTCCATGACTGTAAATATCCAACCAGTTGGTGGGTTTTCAAAAACAACTCACATCTGCATAGAAACTTGGAAAGAAAAAGCATAATATTCCATTAAACCAACCCACATACCCACCTCCAAATTTCAGGAGCCAAATTGGCTCTTTCAGAATAGCAATACGTAGATTCTTATTAGTCTGGTCTATAACATGAGGATAAATTTGGGATGGGAGAACTCTATATAAAGGCCTTATATTTAGCAATAACTATACAGTGGTGTTTTTGTGTAAGGTGATGTCTCCTTTAGATGGAATTACAGTAATTATATATAATGTTGACAGATTATGACATTCACCTATTAAGATACTAGACAAACATTCCTATAATTTGCTGCCTTTTGAATTTGTAAAAAATAAATGAAAGGAAATCCCCAGGGATGCTGCTAATGGGGTATCTGGAATGGTAGTTTCAAAGGCACAGGGTTCAGGAAATAACAGTCAAAGAATAATGCTTTTTAAGCCAAAACATATAGAACAGTAAATGAATATTTTAGTACTTACCACAAGACTGCTGTCTAGAGACAACCTTTTTCCAAAGTCCCTTTTCTCGAGATGTCTTTTTCCCTCCATGGATGAAGGTATTTATTTTCCTTTGTGATTTATAAGAAATCTCAGGCTGTTTCCAGGGTCACTGCAAAAAGGGAACATGTGTTCTACTATCCATGTTAACATTTCTCGGACGTTCGCTACTAACTCTCTAACCAGACACAAATGGTAGGTAGAGAACTGGGGCTTTTGCAACCCCCACACCCTTGAGGGGTTGCTAACATTGGAGGCTGATGTTATTGAGGCCCCAGTGTTTTTATAGGTTTTGCTAACAGAGATGGGGAATGGGTTTGCAGGGCTAATCAGCAGACTGTGGAAAAAAACAAACAGTCCATTTCATGCCACACTTGTTCCACACCAGCCCCTTTCTATTGGCATGACTCACTCTGTTACTATGTACATGGATGCTTTCTGCAAATTCCATGAAACCAGATTGACAAAACTGTCCTCTACAACCGATATTTACTGAGCTCAAGTTACCTGAGATTCATTGAAGGGAGAAGCAAAATACTCCCACCTACCCCCCAAATGTTAAATATGTCATTAAAATTCAAGTTTTCAAATTCTATTCCTTGTAAATATTTGATAAGCCTCATCAGACACATTCCCTTTGGAACTGCTAGATGGAGAAGAAAACAAAACAAAACAAAAAACCAGACCATATCATTATAAGCAACAAATATTTACCAAAAGACTTCTTCCTGAACTTGGCATCAGGAGAGCCCTGGGTTCAAATCTTGACTCTACCACTTACTGGATATGTGACCATGGATAAATCACTTAACCTCTTTGAGTCTCAGTTTCCTCATTTGTAAAATGGGGACCATCATACATGCAACAACCTATTTCATGCGATAGTTATGAGGAAAGAACTTTGCAAACCTTAAATTGATTTTAATTTAATGTTATCATCATGTTACCAATTTCCAAAGATTAGGATAAAATTAAAAATTTACTTAACATTAAAACTCTATTGTACCTAATATAATCTTTCTTGATTATCCAAAAGGCACCTCTGGATCTTGTAGTAGTGACAAACTTGAATGATAATGGTATTGTTGATAGAATTATACAGCCAGTTAACAGATATTTCAAGTTAAATGAGTGCCAGATAAATTGATTTTTATTGAAAATGTAAGTGGATTATAATAAAGTAATAATAATGTTACCATCTTAAATGGATATAGCACTTGACTATTTACACCTTGATTTACTTACATCATTTTATCTGATTGTCCCACCTTGGGTAAGACAGTTAGGTGTTAATGCTAAATGGTATGTCCCCTTAGGGACAAAGTCTGTTTTTCATATTTATATTACCAGCACCTATTTTGGAACACACTGAGTACTTAATTGAGATTTGTTGAATTGAAATATTTGTTGAACTCCCATTTTACAAATAAGGAGACTGAAGCCCAGACAGATTATGTGACTTACTCAAAGTCAAATAGTAAGAGGTAGTGTTGAATCCAGGTCTTCTGACTCTCTTCATTCTTATTCTCAAAGGGCTTCCATTCTAAGATACAAACATTGGCTAATTCTCCTTCTTTCTTTCCTAATATTTGCTTGCACAAGCAAAGATATTGAAGAAAACCAAGGAAAGGACCAAGTATAAGCAGCCCTGGTAAAAATGTTAATATGGTTAAAACAAAAGAAATCAAACCTCTTGCCTGATTGCTTTCCCTGATTATAGTGTATCCACCTTCCAATCAATTCTAAATACCATTCCCAGACTGATTTTTCTGAAATAACTATTTCATTTTGCTGCTGTCCCGCTCAGGCCCCCATGACTTCCCATTGCCTGTAGGATAAAAATCCAAATTCTTTATCCTAACATTCAAAGCCATTTTTACCCTATTCATTCTAACCAGGTCAGTTTCCTTAATGTCTGTGATTCCAGGTAAGAATGTTTTCATGCTTAAGGACTGATTCTAATGGTAGAAATTGCTGATTTCATAACAGGTTAGAAAGGAGGATACTTGGGAGCAGGGGAATCTCTCAGCATTCCACAAATCATGACTCCTGTCTACATATAAGGCAGGTTCTTTACCACCTCCACTGGTGGTTAATTCTTGTCATGGCACATTTGTTTGCTACCTACAGTTAACCACAGGAACACAGAGAGAGTGTAACAGCAACAAGGGACTGGGCAACCAAACACCTACATGTTTATCTACAGTGGTTTCTTTCAAAGAAACTGACAAGCATTCTCAACACGAAATACATACATTCCTGATACTGGGAGATGCATCCAGGAGTTTTTTACTCTAGACTTGAATTCTATAATTAGTTCAAGTACAATTGCAAAGGGCTTTCAGAAACTGAAAGGTTGAACCAACATCATTTGGTGAAAAAGTCAATTTCTGTGTCTTTTACAACTTAACCAGTATCATAATCATCCCTTGTCTCCCTCTAATGCCTCATTATCTCTTTGTCCCTCTCCCTGGGGGCTCTGAAATGTCCTCCCAAACTATGAGGTCCTTACTCATAATAATATAAAATTAAGACAGAAAAAATAGGGCAACCCCTCCCAAATAGTATGATAACATTTGAATTTTTTATTTAACCAATTCACCAATAAATATTAAGTACCTATGATATGCAGGAACTATGTTAGGTACTAGTGACACAAAGACAACAAAGAAACCCTGTCTGAGAGTAGCTTATAATTTATAGAGGGAAAAACACATAAACATATAAATATATTTGAAATATGAGCATAGAAGTTGGACTTGTAATATCATTGGTGTAAGGCAGGGGTTGGAAAACTATAGCCTGAGGGTTAGATCTAGCCTACTGCCTGCTTAGCCCGAGTTGAGAATGGGTTTTATATTTTTAAATAAATTATTGCATTTAAAAATGTAAAAATCTTCCTTATATTCCATTACAGTATAGTTTGGGTAGTACAAAAACAAGCTAGGCATGCTGGTGATCACCTTGTCTTCTTCTCAGTATTAAAGAGTTGCCTAAAGCACTGAAAGATTAAGAGACTTAGCCAGGGTCACACAGCTAATAAGCATTGGAGGCAAGACACATGGGTCTTCCTGGCCCCAAGGTCAGCTCTCTCCACTACATGATGATGCCTCACTATTAAAAATAAATACAAAATAAATATAAGTCATTATGGGGGGAAGGCATGAATAACTAGAAGGATGAAGAAAGGCCTCAGGAGAGTTGGACTGGGAAGGTAACAAGTTCAGTTTTTTTTCATTTAAGAAATTTTTTCTAACATTTTCTAGGCAAATGCACTCATTATTAACAAAGAAAATATCTTTTTTTTTCAATGTCACAGTCGATATTGAGCCTGGTGAGACAATTCAAAGGTCTTTTCCTCATCAATGAATTTGAGGACCTGGATGACCTTGAAGTCCTAGACAAGTAGCCCACCTGACTCTCTCCCATTTTCCTTTCTTCATCAGCCCTGCTACTTTTCTTCGGTTATTTTTCTACAAATCTTCTCTACTTGACAGTTAAGCTCCTTGAGAAAGCAGTATACAACTTCTTCTCCTTTCATTTCCTTCTAAACCTGCATGCCCTCTCCAAAAGCTAGCAATGAACTCTTCATTGCCAATTCTAATGACCTTTTCTCAATCTTTGACCTCTACCCAACAGTTGACATTGGCTAAGATCTTTTCATAGATCTTATTCCCCATCACATACACTGTGATTCAGCTACATTGGCATACTTTCCCTAAAACACCACTTTATCTCCTATAGCCATGATTTTGCCCTATCTCCCATGCCTAAAATGCTTTTTTGTTTTGTTTTGTTTGTTTTTTGGTTTTCTTTTTGCTTTGTGGTTTTTTTGTTTTGTTTTGTTTTTTTGGGTTTTTTTGGAGAGGCAATTGGGGTTAAGTGACTTACCCAGGGTCACACAGTTAGTAAGTGTCAAGGATCTGGTCTGAGGCCTGATTTGAACTCAGGTCCTCCTGACTGCAGGCCCAGTGCTCTATCCATTGCATCACCTAGCTGTCCCCCCTAAAATGCTTTGACCTAGTACTTCTGCCTCTTAGTTTCTGTAGCTTCTTTCAAACTAAAATCTCACCTTGCACAGGCCTTTCCCAATCCTTCCAGCTATGAATACTTTCTTCTTTCAGATTACCTCCATCTACTCAGTGTATGTCTTATTATTATTACTACTTATATGTCTTACTGTAAATGTCTTATTATATACTACTTAGCATATGTATCTTATTTATATGTTTCCCCTACTAGAATCTATCCTCCTGAAGAGCAAGGAGTATTTTATTTTATTTATTTATTCCCCTTCCTTTGGCTCCCCATATCATTAGGTTAAAGAGAAAATAAATGTATGACTAAAGCAAATATGCTTGGAAAGTTCACCTCACCCATTTCTAGTGGCGAGAATAGGAAGTGGTCAGCAACCTGATAAAAAAAACAAGAAATTAAGCTTTCTTTTAACAGACAATGACTTAAGATTATTTTCTTTACAATTCTATTGCCAGCTAATAAAACTTTAATTTCCAGATATTTAAAACTCTGAGTTGGTCTAAATAAACTCCCTTGTAATTTTCCTTGCAGTTTAAATAGTCCAAAGTACTAGATAGGCCTTTTTAACATTTCTAATGATACCAATAATTCCTATTTGCACTTAAAATTTTATTAACAGGCAACAAAGTATTTGAGGAGCAATAATTGAACAATACTATTAAAGGAAACCTTCAAGGCATATTTTCCACCCTATATTCTATATGTATACATTTTGAGTATAAAATAAAGATAAATCTTCTATCCAAATTTATTTCCATCCCCCTGATTTTTTTTTTCCTCCTCTGCTTTGAAATATTAATTGCATAGCCAGAAGATTCTTTAGGAAAACCTACCTTGACCCTACCAGGACAGACCAGGTTAAATCAAAGGAACAGCTAGCTTCTGGACAGCTACTCAGGACAAGGTAAGAACTAATCTGCTTTTAATCCTCTATGCTTCACTCAATCCCTTCCCTCCTTTTTGTGAGTCTTCCAATATGCCTTTGGGGAGAAAATGTCAGTTAGTTTAGGCTACAGTATAGGGCAAGCTGTGTGACTTGTCCTTATTCCCCTACAAAAACTACTTAAATACCCC